CGGCTGTACCAAGGTGTCCGGACGTCGGGTTGTCGTGTCAGCCTTAAAAGATCTCCCGAAGGTCGGTCGGGATTACCAGCAGCCACGGCGAGTTGTTGTTCCCGAAGTTCTCTTTGTAGAGTACACCTTGTCTAATTGCGAAGGTCGGGAGGGCTCGTGAAAAAAACATGTGGCATGGCATTCCCGCGCCCTTCCAGGTGCTCTATTAGTGCGCGCAGCTCAGGATCGTCTCGTTGACGTCAGGCCATGTCGGCGGTGTTCACAGCGCCCAGGAAACACTCGTCGTCATCGTCGCCGCTGCTGCCGGAAGGTGTTTCGGCAGGAGCTCTGGACAGGCAGTCGGCGTCGCTCTGCTAGCGGTCTGATTTGTAGACCACGGTCATGTTGAACTCTTGTAGTCGGAAACTCCATCGCGCGAGGCGTCCTGACGGGTCCTTGAGGTTCGCAAGCCAGCAGGGCGAGTGGTGGTCCGTGACCACGCGGAACGGGCTCCCGTATAAGTACGGACGAAACTTCGTAATTGCCCAGACGACCGCAAGGCATTCTTTCTCAGTCGTGGAGTAATTTCTCTCCGCCTTGGGCAATGTCTGACTTCCGTAGGCCATCACTCGCTCGTGCCTTCTTGTACTTGAACCAGTACCGCGCCAAGTCCTGCGTTGCTTGCGTCCGTGTGACTCTCGGTTTCCGCATCCTGGTCGAAATGTCCAAAAACAGGAGGACTCTGCAGTCGTCGCTTCAGCTCGTCGAATGCCTGCTGCTGCTCCTCAGCCCATTCGAATTTCTCGGCGTCCTTCGTGAGGTTTGTGAGTGGTGCGGAACTCCTTGCGAAATCTCGAACGAAGCGCCGATAGTAGGCACATAGTCCAAGGAACCTTCGCACGGCCTTCTTGTCTCATGGCGCTGGAAATGCTGCAACGGCGCGAGTTTTCTCTAGGTTTTTGCGAATGCCTTCGTTACTAACCACGTGACCTAGAAACTTCAGTTCGTCATAAGCGAACCGACACTTTGACAGCTTGAGGGTGAGTCCGACGGTCCGTATGGCTTAGGGAACAGCTCAGAGTCGTCGTAAGTGCTCGTCGAAGTCGCCGGAAAACACTACGACGTCGTCGAGGTAGACGAGACAGCTCTGCCACTTCAGTCCTGCCAGTACGGTGTCCATGACACGCTGGAAAGTTGCTGGCGCCGTGCATAGTCCGAAGGGAATTACCTTAAACTCGTACAGCCCATCCGGTGTGAATAAGGCTGTTTTTTCTCGGTCCCGTTCGTCGACCTCGATTTGCCAGTAGCCGCTCTTCAGGCCCATTGATGAAAAGTATCGAGAGTGGCGCAGCCGGTCTAACGTGTCGTCGATGCGGGGGAGTGGATAGACGTCTTTCTTCGTCACTGCGTTCAGCTGCCGGTAGTCCACGCAGAACCTAAGCGTCCCGTCTTTTTTCTTAACTAGTACGACTGGAGATGCCCATGGAAAGCTTGAAGGTTGAATCATGTCGTCGTTCAGCGTCTCTTGAACTTGCTCCTAGATCACCTGCCTTTCTCTAGCGGAGACTCTGTATGGAGATCGATGCACGGGGCGCGCGTTGTCCTCGGTAACGATGCAGTGCTCCTCAACGGCGGTTTGGCGCACCTTCGACGACGTCGCGAAGCAATCGCGGTATTTGGCGAGGCTAATCAGCTGACGTCGTTTCGGGCCCGGAAGCTTAGGGTCAATGTTGAGCTGCGCTGGCGACGTACAGTCTTGCTGAGGTGGCGAGGATTGGTCAGTAATGGCGGCGATTTAGGCGGAGTTTCGGAGTTCCTCGACGTGGCCAACGGATCCACCTTTCGTGAGGTGTTGCGCTTCGTTTCGGAAGTTCGTCATGAGGGCCACAGTGCGGTCATCATGAAGTTCAGCTACCCCTCTTGCGACGCCCATTCCTCTTCCTAGAAGCAACTGGAGGCTCCCCTCGAGCAGAACTTCGTCGCAGAAAGCTTCGGTGATCCCGACAGGCACGAAACACCTCGACCGCGGCGGTAAGTTCACGTGACTTGCGAGGACTCGGACCGCAGATGACGTCGCTTTGGGTTCCTCCGGTGGTGAAACAGGTTTTCGTAGAGTTAGCCGGTTTGCTGCGAGGTCGATGACGGCGCCATACTCGCAGATAAAGTCCATTCCGAGAATAACGTCACTCGAACAGTCTTGCAGAACAACGAATTTGACAGGGCACGTCTCGCCATAGATCTCGACGCGAGCAGTGCATCTCCCAACTGGTGTGATCAGGTGCCCACCGGCGGTTCGTATTTGGGGGCCTTCCCACCGCGTTGTCACTTTTCGCTGGCGGCGAGAGAGCCTCCCACTCAAGACTGAGTAGTCTGCTCCGGTGTCCACGAGTGCCGATGCGTCATGGCCGTCGATAATAACGTTTATGTTGTTCGACACCGAGGCAGGGGCGTCGTTGTAATGCGTAGCGTCGGGAGAGTGGGAACGCTCTGTTGTTGTCGGAGGCTCTTTACTTCGTTCGTCTTCGGCAACCCTACCTCCAGGCGTTGCCGCACTTAGTTTTCCCGGCGACGCAGGGGAGACAGATTCTCTCGGCGGGGTCGTGGCCCTGGAGGCGCTGAATGTCTGGGCGACGGTGAGCGGGATTCACGGCGGAGAGGCGGCGCTGAGGATGGCGAACTTAGGAGGTACTCCTCGATGTCGCGAGGGCGTTCGTCGTACCTTGCGCGTAAGTTGTTTGGGTGGAGCCCGCGCAGCCCCAATTGTCGGTAGGGGCATCGACGGTAAATGTGGCCGGCTTCACCGCAGTGAGAGCACAACGGGCGTCGATCGACCGTCCTCCACATGTCGGTCTTTCGCGGCGCAGCTCGTTCTGGGTGGAAGTGCGCCCGATCTTCTTGGCATAGGGAATACTGCGGCGCTAGAGGCTCACGTCGAGGTGTCGCCGTATACTGGTGAGTTGGGGGCGGTTGTCGTCGGGTAGCTGCGGCGTAACTCATCGTCGGCGGTTCGGGAGTAGCGCCGACGAGAACTTCTGGCTGCAGCGCCTGATGAACTTCTTGCCGCACAATCTCGGCGACTGAGGGCGAAGCTGGGCTTGCGGCTGAATTTCCTCCCGCACGACGTCCCAGATGATCTCGTGGAGATCCGGGCTGTTGCAGCTAGAAGGCGAGAGTACAGCGACGCCGGGAAATCGCTGGTAGTGGAAGGTCCGTGATTGAAGGACACGTTCGATGTTCGTCGCCTCGGTGAGGAAACCTTCGACTGTTGACGGAGGGCTGCGGAAAAGACCGCCGAAGATGCTTTACCTCACGCCCCTCATGAGGACGCGCAGTATTTTTTCCTCGGTGGCTTGAGGGTCTGCACGGGTACTCAGCCGCAGAACATCTTCCACAAAGCTCGTGACACTTTCGTAGGGTGCTTGAAACCTCGACTGGAGGAGATCTTCGGCCCGCCGCCTACAATGCTGATTCATAAATGTCCGCTTCAGCTCGACCAAGCAGTCGAACAGGCCGTCGGCCTGTTCGACTGCTTGGTCCTCGGTGGCAAAAGTCCAAATTCCGAGTGTAGACCTTGAATACGGCGACTTAATCGGGTCTCGGTAGTGTCTTCGTCGGGTCGTCGTGGGCTTGCTGTCGGACCTGCACTGCGGGCCCTCGGAGGAGTATGCTGCAGGAACATGCGGTACCCCGCAGCTCCATCAAAATGTGAAGAATGAAAAGGTAAATCAAAGAATAACTGGGGCAGCTGAAATGTTTAATGGGGCGAACTTGTGCCCAAAAATAAAATGGAAAAAATATAACAACCGAGCGTTGCGGGTGTCGAAGGCGGCGAAGCAGTAGGATCGAACGCTGAGGCGAAAACTGACTCCGCTCCCCTTGCGGAGTCTCTTATGTAGCCTCGTAGGTTTCTTTCTGGATCATTCGGTATAGAGCTTTCGGTGCGTAGAACATTCGGAACTTGATCAGGCGAGAATGTCCTCCAACTTACGAGAAGGCCAAGTTGAAAGAATAAATAAAAGGACAGTCCGCTGACAGGGAACCGAACCTACACATTCCGCGCGACAGTCAAGCTTGGTAACCACTCGGCCACGCACGCGCTTGATCGCCGACGCGCGTGGCAATAACCAGCTGGATCAGCCGCTTCGGTGTGCATGCCATAATCACCACCGATCGCGGGCGCCAGTTTGAGTCCGCGTTAATTAAAGAATTCATATCTCTTCTGGGCTCAGTACGGACGCACACGACAGCATTTCATCCTGCTGCAAATGGCCTCGTCGAGCGACTCCACCGTCAGCTGGTGTCTGCGCTTCGAGCACAAGACTTCCCGATGCATGGGTTGACAACCTACCAGTAGTGTTACTAGGTCTGCGATCAACCATGAAGCCCGACTTGTGTTGTACAGTGGAAGAGCACGTGTGCGGTTCTCCCCTTTGTCTCCCTGCCGACATGGTTGAACCATCAACGGCACAAAGTGTAATGCATCCCACCTCGTACGCCCAACGACTCCGGGAAGCCATGAACTATTTGCGCCCAGTACAGACACGCAACCTAGCGCAAGCCAAGTCTTCGCTCACCCTGCCCTCGCCCAATCTTCACATGTAATCACACGTCGGGATGTGGTATAGAAGCCTCTCAGACCTCTATACGATGGTCCATACCAGGTTGTTGGCAGAACACCGAAGTTTTATACGGTACTTATACACGGACGTTGAAATACAGTTTCCCTGGACCGACTAAAACTTCCCTTCACCACAGTCCTCGACATGGCCACTACCCCTGTGTCGCAAAACAACACTCCAACGCACTTCACACTTACTGCGCAGGTGGCCCAAGTCACTTGTCCAAGGGCCACTTTTCCATCTATAGCAGCCCAGGAGGGCTATGTTGCGCTTTTTGCACTCCCAGGAGACTAGGGAGAGGGAAGTGACGTCAACAACTCTCTTTGGACGTCGATTGGTGGAAACGCTGATGACGGTATTTGCAGAAGAAAACAAAGCAAAAGTGAGCGGAAATCGGTAAACCGGAAGCTCTACCATTAACGGACGTGACGTCAAAATGACATATGAATACTTTGCTGTTACGTCGCTTCGAAAGAACGAAGCAAGATGGGGTGCAACGCGTCCGCGCCGTCCCGTCGAACGATGGACTGCACCCCGATATTTCAGTTGTTGTATCCGGTGGACAGGCGCAACCGGAGCCATCGGGATGCTTTTGAACTCCCGGAGCACGTATTTCGGAAGCAGTACCGCCTGGCGAAGACTTTAGTGCGGTGGCTGTGCGACGAACTCCGCGAGGAGCCGGAGCTGCAGAGACTGCGTCGGTCAAGTACTGTCATGACTGTGGAGGACCAAGTGCTGTGCGCACTTCGGTTTTACGCTACGGGGAGCTTCCAAGGCATGGTGGCGAGCGACGAGCACATAGCACGGGACCAAGGCACGGTCAGCATCGCCTTGCGGGCCGTGTCCGTCGCTATTGTGCGCCGTCTGGGGATCCAACATGGCTGGATCCACTTTCCCCAGACGGCAAGCGAGAGGGACGACTTCGAGAGGGGCTTCCAACTACTCGGCAGGATTCCGGGCGTCATCGGGTGCATCGACGGGACGATGATCAGCATCGTCGGCCCGTCCAAGTACGACCCCACCGTCACGAAGGCTGCGTATTGGTGCAGGAAGCAGTACTACGCCCTTAACGTGATGGTGGTAAGTAACCTCTGAACGAAACTTATATTGTATGACGATGCGGATGCAGGGTAGGCATAGAGAGCTGTAGGCATAGAGAGCTGCTCATTTTTTAAATTTTTTTTCAACTATATAAACGTAGGCTTCATGGGGGGGATGACTGGGAGGGAGCGAGCTCGACACTGGACCGGACCCAACCCCCAACCCCCCCCCCCCCCCCCCCCCCTTTGTTTTTCTCTCTTCTTCCATGTTGTACAATATGAGCTGAAACAGCGCTCCGGACGCCGCACGGTACTACCTGCGCCGCCTGTCGCATTGGAACGCACACTCGGCCCCAGGCTGCGCCGTGTTTGCGGAGCGATGCGATAGGCGGCGCAGGTAGTACCGTGCGGCGGCCGGAGTGCTGTTTCAGCTCATACTGTTCGCGATTGTACGTACATACATGCTTTACACAGCTAGAGCGTGGCTCATTTTGTGTATCCAAGCTGACAGTGCCTGGTCATGTATGGCGCAAAGTGTCCTACAATCACCTTAGTCGTGGATTTCTTCTTTTTGTGCTTATTAGTTTTGCAAATGGTGCTTAAGGCTGGAATTGGCGTTGCCTAACAGTGTGCTTTGCTTGATCATTCGGGGAAACTACTGAGCACATGTATCCTATCTCTACAACAGGTGTGTGACGCCCGCTGCCGGGTAATGTGCATCGACCCATGCTACCCAGGGTCGGTGCACGACTCCTTTGCCTGGCGCTTCTCCTGGCTCCGCGACAACTTCGAGCAAGGCCGGCTCATCGACGATGGCAGGTTCCTGCTTGGTGAGCATGCTTAAATTGTTAAATTTGTGCATGTCGGCTGAGCCTGGATTATAGGCTACAATACTGTATAATCTGATGCTTCTAACATTGTTAATTGTGCATACACTGTGTACATACCCAGGAAGAAGTTGCTGCACAAAGGTGTTCTTGTTTGGCCTTTGCAGTAATAAAATTAAAAATAATTGGTGCATTAGTTGGTTAAACATGATGTGAAAAAAGCGCTGTATCCTGTCCCCTTCTCTTCCTAACCATTTGCGCTTTTTCACATCATATCAAACTTCCCAGTAAATAAAACAATATTAGAACATTTCTTTGTCTGATTGCGCAGGAGACAGCGGCTACGCCTTGGAACCTTGGCTCATCACCCCTGTCCCTGGGGTGCACACAACCTCCACCGCCAGCGGCCGGTTTAACAAGGCACATTCCTCGATGAGGTCCGTTGTGGAGCGCTGCATTGGGCTGCTGAAATCCAGATTCCGGTGCCTGCAAAGGCACCGGGCTCTGTATTACCATCCAACAACAGCCACCGCCATTATAACGGCGTGTGCAGTGCTCCACAATATATGCCTTGCATCGATGGAGCCAGAACCGGAGCCAGATGCCGACTCTGACAGTCCAGAGTCGGACTCTGGGTCGAGCTCGGACGGTTCTGAGCCGGGCTCGGCGGGGTTAGAGCCAGAAGGTGGCGGGCAGGTTCCTGCCCACCTTCCGGTGCGCCTCTCGGACAGGGGGAAGGCTCTGAGGCAAGGCCTTGTGTCCCAGTTCGAGCCCTGCCAAAGCCGTGCCGTCGCGGGGCCCTCTGCAGGCCGCTCTGGCAGTTCCTCACGCCAGCAGCGGCGGCGCCACCAAGGAGTCCGTCGTCGATCTAGCCTCTCTGGCAGTCCTGCCGTCCAGGGAGGCCAGCGACGACAGGGAGCCCCTCGTCGTCATCGTCGCCACCATGCCGGCAGTTCCGCAAGGGCTGAGGTGCCGTGAATGCCCAAGGCCCTCATCAGCACCCTTGGTGCCAAGGGAGCTCCCCGTAGAAGTGCGTAAAACTCTCTCCAGTCCACAGGCACGACGGTTCATGAACTGCGCAGTCTCTTCAGCTCCTGCTCCTCACAGTTTTCAGCACAGCCATTGTGCAACCCTCGCAGAAGGATGGTGCTGCTTCCGAAATATGTATTTTGGGATTTTAAGTGTGTAACGGTGGTTCCAAAGGTGTACCTCTCCATAGAATAACCTTTTATTTTGCAACAGATATGAGATAATGAGTATCATGTGTCCATGATCGTGGTTGGTTAGTTGAGTTCATATGGCAAACACAGACAGGCCGCCTCATTTTCCCCACAGCAAACTCTGTTATTTTATGTCATGTATTTCCTCGTGTGTTATTGGATATTGGCTTGTGTAACAGGTATGACCAAGTAACCTGGGAGCAAATCATTTTGCCTCTTTATGAAACAATCTCATTTTTCCCTGTGCTTCATTCTGTTCCTCCTTCCCAGGTGTGCCACATTTTTATGTATTCTTTGTGACTATAGAATTTCGATATATTTTTGTTGTTTGCAAAGAGGGTACACATGAGTGGATTGTGACAGAGATATTCTTTTAGCAATAAAAATCTTTGACAGTTCGCCGAAAGATGTTATTGCAGCCACCTGAGGCGCTTTCGTATAAAACAGTGTATACAAATAACAACAATCTCCAAGGAACATAAGTTGACAGTTCACGAAAGACGTTGCTGCGGCCACTTCAGGCACTGTCATATAAAACATTATATACAGATAACAACATTCGCCAGAGAACATAGATCGACAGGTCATGAGATTTTATTGCAGCCAAGGGGGGGCGTTGTCATTAAAAAATATATACAAAATAAAAAAAAGATCCCCTTGGATGTGAGAAAAAAAAGGTGCAGTAATCAGCGCTTAGTTGTTGTGATCCTCTGGAGGCTGGGCCAGGTGCTGGGCCTGGGGCTCGGCCTGGGGTTCGGCCTGGGGCTCGGCCTGGGGTTCGGCCTGGGGTTCGGCCTGGGGCTCGTCCTGGGGCTCGGCCTGGGGCTGGGGCTGGGGCTGGGCCTGGGGCTGAGGCTGACGCAGAGCGTGGCTGGATAGCAGGAGGATGACCTCTCGCATGAAGGCAGCGTTTTGCTGCATGGAGAGGACCCCCTCCTGGATGTTGTCTGCGATGCGGTCCATGCTCTGCGCCTGCTGCTCCACGTGCTGCGCCAGCTGCCCCACGTTCTGTGCCAGCTGGTCCAGCCGCTCCAGGACCTGCCCCATGCCGAGCGTGATCTGAAACATGATTTGCAGATTTCTTGACATCCAACATCTCATACAGGTTACGAAGACTTTGCTGACACCAACTATTGGTACCTTATGTGTGAAGTAAGTCTGTGTTTAATCATGTTACTGTGCTTCAGGGATTTGTCAACATTACCTGTCCCTGAAACCTTTCGTCTCTCGTATCGCGGCCTGTGTTGGCGTCGAGCAGGCGCTGCTGGTTAGCCACGGCCGAAAAGGCCGCCTCGTCCCGCTGCTCCTGTCGAGAGACTCGAGGGACTCGACGAGGCAGCCTTGGTCGAACCGTGGCTCGCCGTGCTCGAGGCCGTGGCATTTCTGCAGGAAAACATAGTTTAGATCAGTAATAAGTGTGGTCATGTTCATGTTGCTGACGGTTTTAGTTCCCCTTAGTCAAGTCAAGTATCTTACGCGTTGAGGTAGATGCCTCCTGATTGGCGTCCTCCTCCTCCTCCGCCTCCTCCTCGAGCACCTCCCCCGCATCCTGCGAAGCTGGGTGCTCCTCTGCCGGGGCGCCCACAGACTGCGCCTACAAGGCACATTTATCGTTACGTGTTTGCACTGCATGCCCTGTAACATGTGCAATCTCTTATGTTTTTTTATGGAATCAAATGGAGCTATGCTCCAGCTTTAGATTCTACACAGGTTTGCCCCTGTAGTAACTTTTGTAGTTTGCTGTAAAAACAATACTGCAAATGAATGACTTGTGGTAAACCTCTTGTGAGTGCCAGGCAGGTAGCTGCTCCCTGTCGTGTGCGTATTACCCTATAAGAGTTGTACATGTTGCATACTATTGGGAAGAACAGATAAGTAGATGATTCATTGCAGCAGCTGAATGTTGCTGGTAGTGCTGTGGCTGACGCTAGGATGTACCACTCCCATTTACATGTCATTTCAATCACCTTTTATGTAAACTAACCACCTTACTACAGCTCTCGTCAACGTTTCTAGGTCTAAGCAAAGTTGGGGCCGAACCCAGGAAAAGTATTTGGCAGTCCATGATGAATTTTGAAGCTCAGACTCCTCCTCCTCTCCTGGATATGGCCTTGAGCCCAGGAACTATTTACATACACGTCCCATAGTTTTTAATAGTTATCACACGTGCAGTCCTTTCAGGGTTAGCCTGTACAGGGACAAGTCAATTTTCCCTCTGTACACCCTACAGTTGGCGGGATTTTGAAAGGGACCGATAAATGAATTAACGATTTGTTGCTTATATTTATCACTTTAAACAATGACTATTGTAACCCACCAATAAAACTATCAACAAATGTTCAGAAAGCTTAACCCAATTTTGGGACCACGTAGGTAACGAAGTGCCAATCCTGCTTTCTTCACTTCTTTCTCAGGTAGGTTCATTGAAATTTTAGTGCAATGCTTCCATTAGTTTTAAAATACAGATTTAAGCGTTCACTTCATACACTTGCCCCGCCTCCAGGAACTCTGCAGAAAGAAGCAATACATGTAGATTGTTGTGCTGTTCCCTGGTCAAGTACGTACCTCCTCCTCCGGAAAGTAGGGGACACGAAACCCGGGGGCGCCCAGGGCAGAGTCTACACCGACAATGCACAGGATGCGGGAGTAGGTTGATGAGAGCCGCGCCCGGGAGGAGCCTCCCCCCGTTTTGCGGCTGTGAATACAATATATATATCAATAACTCTGTCCCGAGTATTTATCTTCTGCCTAGCTTACCTCTCAGCCTCGACTACCGCGCTCCGCTTGCGGGCTTTGGAGACTCGGTTCATCCAAACCCTCCTCCACCGCTCTGTGCTGCGCGGCGGCCCGAGGTGGTTCAGTCGGCAGGTCAACTCGGCCCACAACCTTGTCTTGTCATCTCTGGTCAGGCTAGGCGAGAGATCAGAGGCCCCACGAGCCAGTTCGCGATGTGCAAACATAAAATTATCCATTTCTTCTTTTTGTAATGCATTGACTGGCTCGCAGGGCTCTCTCTCGCTTGCCTGATCAGACATGACAGACATGATTGAGGCGGTAAATTGTCGTCTGCTATCAGTTTTCGAAAAACGCGCGCGTCCGCATCCCGCAATTGTTGCCGGCAGCTTTTACATCACATAACTTCGGTTTCATTTTTCTTTTCAGCCCAACTAAAGAAAAACGTAATAATTTCATCAGCATTCAAAGTTTTTTTATTTACGACGCCGTGTAAAATAAATTATATGTGACGGTGAGCGTCGCACTCCCTTGGCTACTGTCGGCTCGATGCAAGTACAAGAGTCGTTGGCTTGGTTCGCTCGTTTGGCTTCGTGCCTTCACGGCCGTGCATCGGAAGTGTGTCGTCGTTAATTACTGCGATGTCGTCATGGCGTCAGAAGGTGAGTTTCCGCGTTCCGTGGTGTTGCTAAGATACGTTCATTCACAACTACGTCACTTCCCTCTCCCTAGTCTCCTGGGAGTGCAAAAAGCGCAACATAGCCCCCCAGGTAAAGCCCCTCTATCCTTGGAAAAGTGGCGCCATTCATTGTTGTAGAAATGCTCGAGGCACGTGCCCCGCGCCACTTCTGGGAAATTCATGGCGTTTGAAATCTAGCTTAGTGCTGCGCTGTGCCGCCATGATCTTCCCAAGGGCTGCACGTTGCGCGTGCCTCGTGCATCGACGAACATTTCGCTACTTTTGAAACATGAAGGGGCTTTAAGCCGAGCTAGTGATGCTTCCTCGACGATAAAAAAGAAGCATGTTGGCGCGAGAACACAGAACGACACACCACGAGCTTTGAGATTCGGCGACTGAGCAGCCCGGCGGCTACATCGAGCGATGCCCAGGACAGTTCTATTTCTTTTGTAAATATTATACATTAAGATATTTTGGCTGCTATATTCCTGGTTCCAACAAACGTTTAGAACAAAGACGCATCGCTTAACTGAGATTACCGTGTGATTTCATTTCCTTTGCTGTAAAGCGAAGGACTCAAGTTTGCTGCATAAGCCAGTCAATCAAAAAGGTGCACACATCAGCGTTTATTCTATCCTACTATCGAGAGTTGGAATCATGACTCACTTGAGAAATTATAAATATAAGCCTAAGATAAACGCAGTGTTCTGAAATATTCATTTTTGTTTTCCCCTGGCAAGTCAAGGTTGCAGTTCATTCGCAAATGATGTAGTCGCCCTTCCTTTGACTGACTAATTTACTAATGGCACTTTTTAATTACATCCTTTGTTAGGCCACTCACCAAGTACGTGGCGTATTCATACAGCGAGTACCATCTGAACGTAAATCCCGCAAGAATCCCCACTTCGAAGTCACGCATGCGGAGGTGTATCCCCTCATTGATTAGTCACAGAATAACGCTATTTTCTGATACTGATTATATTTTCGGTTCATGCTTTGCATTAAACCGATTTAAGTTATTCCAACAGAGAGCCGGCTGCCTAATGCGGTCTGTTAAGGTACTTCTCTTTTTTTTTAATCGAAAATGTAAGATTATGCAGATAATAAAAGAACCACTGAACATTTCTTAAAATGTCTAGACTCCACGCAATGAGCAAGTAGTGGTGCTGTAACAGCCTCAAATATCTAATAAAGGGCCCAGGGAGAGTTCATGACGCATTGCGGGGTGATAGGCTGCCTCTAGTCGCAAATAATGTGCTGGAAGAAGTGATTAAAAAGAGTTTGAACAACGGACACTGTACAAAATCTGATCTTCCAATACATCTTCCTAAATTTTCCAATTCATATTACTTCAGAAAATGGTTACACAACACTTCACTAGCGCAAATTGTACTCGCAATGTATACCAAAGTTGTTTTCCCGGGAATCTGGCGGCATATTGTAATGGCCAGGGTGTAAATAAACCTGTGCCACATAATGGCCAATGCCTTACTATGCAAAGGCATTAGGCGTTATGTCGAAGCTACAATAATAATAATATTGACATAAACAAGGTTAAAAAGATTAATTGCAAGCGCTCCTGTATAAGCATTTTAACTGAAAACAAAACTTACTTTCTATATTTACAATGTACATTCGAAAACTGTAACACTCCTGCAAAGATTCACAGGCGGATTGATATAAATAAATAAGGAAAATATTCAGACACAGGTGTATTGTCTTCCAGAGCTTCAGATCGGCATCACCGCTAGATCACCAACTATTATGCAAAAACATTATGCGATACCACAATAAAATGGCTTCACTGAATACTCTATGTGTGTCTCATTGGAAAAACATTGGGTGTGTGTACGTTGATATAACCAGGAGCTTAGTCTGCCTCAACGGGCGACTTGTCTCCCAGCTGTAGATGAGAAATTAACCCAATGCAGCACAACTGCAGGCCTGGGATCTTAAACGTGCACCACCATAGCCTTCTATATGCTGACAAAGCCTGGCCGATCGCCACGAGAAGCGGCCGCCGAAATTGAAAAGGTCGAGCGGCAGACAGCCGATGAGAGGAGAGCCACGTGACTGGCGCCCCGCCACGGCAATACGCCGAAACACACTTCTCCCGAATGAAGTGTGTTTCGAGTCCTCGCCGCTGCAAAAGCTGTGCGCTGACGTCTAGCTTTCCCGAGAATCGCTCTGTGCTATCAGAGCAGTTCTCTAGAGGAAAGAAGGCATAATTTCAAACGGAAAAAACTTGTTTAACTGAAAAGCGATATTTCAAAATTGTGCGTGGCCTTTAGGAACCATTCGTTTACGTGATATATGCCCGAATTATTCAGGAGTCCCAATTTATCCAGGGCACTAAAAACTTCCCCAGAGGCAAATCCTTCCGTTCACAAAAAAAAATGCTATCTCACTTGACGTTGTTACTGTTGTAGCCCCAAAAAAACTGGTCATATTTTCCAAATCAAAAAACATAAACCGTCAAACGACGGTCACTATTTTGTCTTAGGATACTCGAAGGTAGCTGACGGTGTAAACTGTTGTGTGTTCTCATTTCACAGCCCTTATTAACACTTCGACTGCTGCGAAAATATACGATAGGAGTTGCTGTCCAATGTCCGATCCCCCAAAAAATGTAATACAAAGATATTTCTCAACGTACAGATAATCAAGCGCAAGCAGTCTGAATTTCAAGGAAATGTTTGCAGATTAACACATGAAGAACAAGAGTATTAACTGCATGGTATATAGCCAGGGAACTTTTATGAGTATCCAGCAGACATGCCGACAGCATATTACATTCCCGTTGCTCTCGTCAGATAAAAAAACACGCGTCAGAGCCAGGCAACGTGTAGGTGTAAGTGGTTAACGCTATGCGACTGAACTCTCTTGGCACGTTCTTCAAGTCAGCTCGCCTCTGAAAATGTTATTTCGAACTCTCTATAAAAGAAGTCTCCGAAGCATCCGTTTGTACACTACGCCTATTGTCCCACTTTTAGAGCCAAGATGATGTCTAGTCTCACCGTCGTCGTGGTTGGGGTGTTCATTGCAGGTAAGTCATGTAGACCATCATTCATTTAAGCAGCTGTTACTGCTACCTAAATAACTCTGAATAGTTGAAGGAATTATGCAGCAAAAGAAACAAAGACGAATAAAGAACACAATTACAATAATCGTTCATCGCACCCTCAAGGCTATGCCCGGGTGATGCCTGCACAGTGTTTTTAACGATTCTGATTTTATCGATACCTTTGTATCATTTCTGATAAATTTTTATTTAGAACAAACGCACGCTTACTGCGAACTTAGCGGAATTAGTACGTCTTAACATTTTGTATTTGCTGGACCAGATTTCAAAAATAGTAGTCTCCAAAATGTATTGTGGGGATTTCCCGTTTTTGGTTTTAAGTCGGCCCTACTGCAGGAATAAATGTCTGTATTTTTTAACGCGTACAATCAATGATTGAAACAGTTTTCCGGAGAGTGTCACAAATGCATCTATTGAGAAATCAATAATAACACCGCTGTGGTAGCCTATTATTTTTATGTATCATTGCAGTATCGTGAGACATCTTGCTTTTTCCTGTGTCCTCTTTCCCTTCTTTTTTGTATGCTCACCCTTGACTTGGCTACCAAAGTGTGGCTGGCAGTATTTCTAAAAAAAACAACAGATCAACAGCTATATGAATGGTCCAATACGGTCTTCGCATGTGAATTATAAGGTCAAGGGAGACGTAATAAAAAGTTTCAATTGCCCGATAAGTCTAATAACTAACTAAAAGTTGTTAGCTTTTTTTCGTAAAAATAAACATATGATTTTGTTCAAAACTTGCTGAGCGCCGTTGAGAACCACCAAATAAGTACATTTTGGTAATATTCGGGGTACATGGTAAGCGCAGAGGAGCGTTAAAGTTATTAATCCTGCAATGGGCACAATACTGGCAGTACAAAAACGCGGATGATTATAGACAGAAAAAACAGCCCCGCCTTCGCTCCCTTCCCGTACCAGACAAATCAAAACTATTTCGTTATTTGATGCGTCTGATATGTAGCGACGAGAAGAAAAGGGTACTTGCTGCATCGCGCGTAAGTGTCGAGCAATCGACGACGACATGAGCAAAGGTGGTGCACAAACAAAAGCAGACGACTAATGCACACTGCACACCCGTCGAAACTGAAATCAAAACAACCCGTTGAAAGTCTACTGCTCCCAGAGTGCACATGAACCGCTGGGGGCATTACAATTTTGAATATTGGACATCACAGCACATAGATGTCGTTTAAGCTCGAGGTTGTGAGTATTCACATTATGTCTCTGACCGACCGAATTGATTAGGAGGATAAAATCGGCAAACGAAGGTTTTTGCCACGATGCATAGCAATTTAAAGTGCCGCTGGCGCTACCTGCCAACCTTCTTTCGCTCCGAAATGTGCATTGAATAACAATGCCATAAATATTTGTGGAATGAAACGATAATATTCAGAAATGGTCCTCCTACCCGACAGTCATTAAACTTGTTAACCAAAATATCACGAATAAGCAGTGCACACAAGCATAAGTTATGCTCCTAAAATATAAATATAATGTACGTAATTAATTTTAAGTGTTCTAAAATTCATCTTAATGGCGCTCCCAAATTTTGCAAGTAAGAAACTAACCTTGAGTTAATCTTTTTCAGTGTGTCTTCGTGCTGACTTCATATCATCATTTGTTTTCCGTGAAGGCCCGTGGGGCATTATACAAGGGCGTGGCGAGAAAACAAAAAATGGAAACAAGCATATAACATTCTAAGCTAGTTAGCTAGGTTAGATTGAAAGAGGGTAATGAATTCATAGAATTTAGTAGTATCATTTATAGAAACGATGTTGTGAGGTAGTGACTTCCAATCTCGATAGCCAATGGTGCAGTGTAAATGTTTTGTGAGACACATTTGAATTTCGAAATGCACGAAATTTACATGGGTGACCTGAACTAAAGTCACTGGATCCGGGAAAGTAGCGCCATTGCCTTCCCACCTGCTAGCCGCACATAAACAAATACCGACATACAGCCTTTCAAGATGATTGGCTCATCGCTCTCGGTTACCATGGTGATCGCCATTTTGGACCATTTTAAAGCTTGGAAGCTTCGAAAGGGTTTCTTACAATTATGCTGCTCGCCTTGCGTGGTTCAAGACAGTAGAATTATTTTTCAATCTCTCCAGCCCCGACGCCGCGTGTGATGCCGTACATCTTCGTATTGCCATCCCACGCAACTACAGTAATTGGAGGAATTGAAAAAAAAATTACTGTATTGAAACAGGCAACAAGAGCAACATACTTGTAAGAGATCTAAGAAAATAGGCATGAGTGATAAGTTTATGGCATGCACAGTGCCCAAGACGCTCATATTGACTGAGGAACGCTTTCAGTACGATGATGCTTCATAACGATCTTGGTGCGACTGCTTTTGACGACTTTGTCGAAGATTCGACGCATTGAAAGGGTCACAAATGGCGATCACCATGGCAATCAACAGCAATGAGCCTATCACCTTGGGAAGTTTCGTCGTTTGTATGTTGGTATTTGTTTTTGTCCGGCTAGCGGGTGGGAAGGCAAGGGCACTATACTTTCCAAGTTCCAGTGACTTTAATCTAAACATTGGGGAAATACGGTAGGGTGATGATAATAACAACTTTCTGATATGAAAACTGCGATAAAAAATCAATGAAGGGAGAGAGGCGTGACACTCAACGGCGAAGGAAAGTGGATTATGTTTACCTTGTTAACATTCTTATGATTGTTCAACATTCATTGCTTTATCTATTACTGTTCAAGATAACCAAAGTGATGGGATTTCCTGGAGTACCTGTTTTTTTTTTGTTTTTTTAATGCTACCCTTGGAGCGTAAACGTTGTTCAAAAATATCTGTCAGTGTAGGCTAAACACGTTATGTGTGTAACATGGAGCACACAGCTTGGTATAGAAGTGGCAAAACTATTTGAAGTGGTAAAGAAATAAATCAAGCGTTTCATTAAAAAACGATTATACATCATCCGGAAAAGTACCAACATGTTATTATAAATCAGTTTCTTCAAGTGTCGGCTCAAAACTACTCTGATGTTAAAAATAATTTCAAGTCAGTCGTTTCACGAGTATGATTTTGTACTTCCTGCCACTGATTCGCCTCGCTTAAAGCTAAAAGCATATTCATGTTTTTGTTTATTTTTTTCTTCTAGTAATTGCAGTTGCACAATTAGTTTCCAGCTTTCCAGACAACAGAGAATCGCAGGTAAGATTTACATATCATCTCATAACTTCCACAGATGTTAAATTTGCATTCTTGTGAATATATAAAACCAAATGTGTATACAACTCTCGCAGACTATAGTTTAACATTTCACAAATTTAAGATTGTGTAGTTCAATCATTAACAAAAAAGTGAATGACTTTCATGAACAATTCACATGATAAACTTAAAGCATAACGCACGACTCCATGCTGGATGTAATTCTACGAGAAATATGATCATGTACTTTTAACAAATATAATTTTTAATTAAAGCCACTCTCATGCTCTTCATATAGTTTCTTTATATATAATTTCAAAATATAATTATATAAATATCATTGAGTTTATACCTTCATAATTTCTATTTAATTGTTAAAGTGAAACCTTGCATCCTCTCAGTGCCATGCGATTACTCGTCACTTTTCTTAAAGGAGCACTAAAGGATTTTTTGTTGAAGCTTGTTTTTATTGCACATTGTTTGTTGGGCTTTACTTAATAAACATGATCAGTTCTAGATGCCAAAAACATCCAAGTAAACTCAAAGCGATAGAAACACACGGGCATTATTTTCTTTTGGGGGTGGGTGACATACTCGAGTATCCACCACTTCAATAAGATTTGTCCAATTAAAACAGTATTTGCTTGAATATTCTGAACGTTATTATGAATAACATTTTTTACGCACGTCGTGCATTGCATCTTAACAACAACCTTCAAATACTTTGGGTGTAGGAGACGTAATACAGCAATTATTGTTTAAAAACGCCTTGCAACGCCCACTTCAGGTGTCGGCTCCAAGGTTCAAATTGAAGGGTCCGCTTGACTGCTCCTCTAAGAGTCACGTTTTTTTTCACAAACTGCATATCGACTTTAGATGTGTTATTCCTATGCATTATATTCTAAAAATTTTAAAATCCTATAATGTATCATAACATTTTACTCGCCATTCAATTTTGATTTCAGAATCTTGGAGAAATTCTAATTCGTCGACCACGGTGCATCCCATACGGCTGTACCTATGGACGTTGGAGGAGGCCAGATGGAACTCTTTGCAGGGTCAGTATTTCTAAATCTGCTGACATTTCTAGCTACGGCTACATTAACACAATTCATCCAAACTTTTCAGCAGCTCAAGTAATCTGTTTTGTACTACTGTACAGGCATACCTACCAAAATGAAAGAAAAAATGCAATTTTCTTCGAACTTCATATTGTAAAACAGTAATTTATGTATCTTAACTCCAAACTGATATCACAGCAAACAATTGTAATGTAAAGGTTCAACCACATGTTTTTATAACTGCACTTTCAAAGAACAACCTGGACTGAACATGCAAAATTAGCGAAATGTTCGTACAATAAATTCGAAAAAGTAGGGTCAAGACGCCTCAACGCGGCAACCATTGATCTGCACAGAAATTCATCCAAGCTATGTTTCTTTTAGCAAATCGCCAGGTCGCCTTTTAACCAGATGTTTTTAAAGTATCAATTAGGTTCACATCAAACAAATTAGTGCAGTTGACGGCTTAAACGTTCAGATAAACACGAATAGAATAACACAAATCGTCAACCCTTTTGTATTGGCATGCGATTTTAATCACTGCAGAAGAGGGGGAGAACAATATTCGTTAAGTATTTCATCATTGCCCCTTGTAACAAAAAAAATGTTGTAAAGCGTTCTGCATTGAAATGTAACTAAAATTACTTCTCAATTTACGGCAAACACATAAATGTAGATCATCCCTGGGAAACACTTTTTTATAGTTATACCAAACGAATAAATCAGTTGTGAGTGATTGAGGGAAATTATCGTCTATAAACTGCGTATTCGTTTTAAAATACACCAGTAAAAACACATTTTGTAGATGCAATAGCTGTTCAATAATATATTATCCTCGTATATTTTCGTATTGATTGCAAAGTAAGTGACGAATCACTGCAATGTTCATGCCGACTCAAGTTTGATATATTTCGTCCTGATTGCAAACTTTTAAACTCAATACGGAAATATTTACCTGTACACACACTTTAAGATTGCAAATGAAAGCTCGGAAGAAAAACCTTTTAGATAAATTAGGTATAGTCTAAGGGCCCTAAATATGGCACATTAAATTTATATTAGCTGATTTGCGCTTCTTTGCAGATTCGCTACCGCATCTATGGATTTTGCAAGAATGGGATTTGCTCTATTCCAAGGCCACCCACAACTACAGCAAGACCAGTTTCTCCGCCTAAACCTACCCCAACCACCACTACAGCTCCTCCGACCACACCCACTAAAACACCCCCGACAGCTCCTCCGACGACACCCACCCCAACCACCTCAACAGCTCCTCCAACCACACACGCCCCAACCACGAAAGCTGCTTCACCGACCAAACCCACTCCAACCCCAACAACAGCTCCTCCTACCACACCCATCCCAACCAAGTCCGCAGATCCAACAACCAAACTCAATCCAATCACCACAACAACTCCTCCAGTCAAATCCACTCCGATCACCACAACCACTCCGAGCAAACCAACCGCAACAGCTCCTCGTACGTAGGGTAACTGTGTAGACCATGGTGCTACTCTGCTGCGCTTCCGAAGCAGAGTACCAGAATGGTCTCTTGTTTCTTTTTTTGTGCAAAGTCGACGTGACCGCGTTAGTTCTACAGGTAGTGCTGCTTCGGCGGTAACCGTCATTCTCAGAAGCGCATGTGTGTGGGCTGCATAACGAGTGTTGTTGTTGCCTACTTATGCTTAGATTATTTTCGCCATGTGATCTTCACCAATGACGAGTTTGCGGCAAGGGGAAAAAACATTCAGTACTTTGTTAGCACAATTTAGTTACCCCAGTCAGACCAAGGACACCAATACAGCTCCTGTCCCCCAAACCAAATTTGTTTTGAATTCGAGCCACTCCTACACCAAAACAAATTCGATCATTTATTCCCAAACAAATCTGACCCCAACTTCGACCACGTCATGATGAGCCATTGCCACCACGCTCATAGAAATTTTGCGACCCGACCCGAAACCACTATTGTGCAACGCTGGGGAACGTCAGTCACGGCACGACCATGGGAAAAACCAGCATCAGGCTTCACGACGTTCAACACGCCGGGATCTCAAGTCTCCTGCACCACTGTCAAAAAAATAAGTCACAGATTAAAAACAAAAATGTATACATTAAAAGTGAACACACTCTTTTTTCCTTCAAAATAACATACCAAATGTGGGTGTGCAGTTTTCATGGGAATATTCGAAATGTTAATGCTACGCAAGTACCAAATCTTAATGGATTTCAGCAACTAAGAAAATGGGGACTTTGAATAAGACTTCAATCATAGTGTGCAGGACACGTAACATACCCAGGTCTAATTCTGGTCCATCAATTATAGCTGCCTTTATTAAGCCGTATATATGGGGCCGAGAAAATGATCAAACTGTATTCAGGCTCAATGTAATATATAGGCTAATGACAATGTGGTGGACGTGTAAGTATGTTGAAAACATGGCGGTGCAAGAAACTAGCGCACACAATGAAGGTCATTAACCGCGTAAACAAAGTGAGGGATGTAGTATCGGGGGCTCAACACTGTAAGGTGGAAAACAAACAACACTTGCTTTCTATTCCAATGCATCTACATGTGACATAACTCATAAGGAATATAGGTGGAAGCTTGTAACCGCAAGGACGTTTTCCTGCCGTTTCCGTTTCAAAACACTAGCGAAACATTTACTCATAGCCTGGAAAGATGCCTTCAAAAACATTCGTATAAGCATATGGAAAGAACATGTCAAAGACGACCTCCCTCGCTTTGTTCAGACAGTGACTGACCTACCTTGTGTGCGCGTTTGAGTTTCACGGAAATCTTCCATTCACACTGTTCGCAACTGCCAGCAGCAGTGGCGTACGCAGTCACTCCTTATACCCGAGCCTAACTAGAGCGACAAGCAGAAACAAACGACAGCGAAAGCCTCAAACCTGTCTTTCGCTATTAGACCTGCTTTGTGGAATAAAGGAGGCTGTGCTGAAACACGAGCACCATGCAAAGCGAGGGTATTTTTGTGAGGCTTGTAATCACTCGTGCTTACTTCTCAAGCACCGGACGACTTAATGCCTGCCCAAGCTATCACCGCGAGCATATTGCACGTATTTGAGGCTTGTAACTTTCGTTTGCTTCTGTTTGTCGCTGTAGCATGGCTCGGACATCTCAAAATAAGAGATTGGGAGGGGGGGGGGGGGGGGTGAAGGGGGGTCTTAGGAGGAAACACAAGGAAGCAGAAAGATAAAACGAAGCTTAGGACAGTCTGACTTTCTGAGAAGTGAAAGCACGCAAACACGCTGGTTAGGAAACATCATAATCTAACACCCTGGGATTAGACAGTTGGTTGGTTCTCGTAGTCCTGGCGGAGATTATCTTTGCAGATGCACGTTGACGGACGCGTGTCTAGTGTTCTAAGGATTTAGCCTGTCAAGCCACGTCTGGTCGAATCTTCGCCATGTCATGTTCCTTATTTTATCTTTTCTTCGTTTGTTTGGTCAAATAAACTCTGCTGTTCTTCAGACTTTCTGTTGTGTTGCTCTTTTTTTTCTTTTTTTATGGTTTTACGTATTGACGGCTTTCTGCGCTCTGCAGCAGAGCAGCACCGTTGAACAGACTTTGACGGTTCTCGAGATTCCCTCTTTGGAGCCGACATCGTGCGACAAAGCCCCTATAACGAAGAAAAGCTAGCTGAACTTTAGTAAAGGTTTGTTGTCCCTTTTCTCAATTTGAGGTGATATGCTACTTAATATGTTGCCATCACAAATTAGTTCAAGTTACAGCAAGGAGTTAAAGAAAATTTAAAATAAATGAAAATGGGTCTCTTTGTTTTGCTTTTTTGACGTAAAGGTTTCCTATTTTAGAGAAATTACACATTTCTGCGATAATAAAAAAAACTACAACAGTCGTTAAGCAAATATTGTTGATACACTCCTATGCCACATTTTAAGATTCACTAAATGTGTGAATGTACCTCTAAAACGTGTTTTCTTAGGTGTTTCATAATTTTTTGCATCAAAATACCGGGTAATTCAACGAGACGGCAGGCTCTTTAAATCGACCGGAAAATTCGGTTTCGTAACCTATCGCGCTACGACTTTGTGCAGCGTTGCCCACAGATGGTGCATTTTTTTTTTGGTCAAATTTACGAAGTGCGAGCTTACCTGAAGAAAAAGTAAAGAACGAAAAAGGCTTAGCTCCTATGGAAACGCAGCGACGCCACCGTTCTTCAAACAGCACGGCGCCGTTTCGCACGGGACACAAGAGATGGCGCAGCGAACGCCGCCAACGAACGAGCATACGGCGCCGAGAGCCAGCGTCTTTAGCAGACAATCTTTTCGACTCAAAAGCGGAGCGCGTTCCGTGGGCGGCGACAGTCGCAGAAACAAAAAGAGGCGCGGTAACAACGAGGAACTGCAGCTCCTTGTCTGCTAAATACGCCGGCTCTCGGCATCGTCTGCTCGTTCATTGGCGGCAGTTGGCGTCGAGACCGCTTGCGCCATCTCTTTTGTCTTACCGTGCGAAACGGAGCCGTGTTGTTTGAAGACCGGTGGCGTCCCTGTGTTTCCATGGGAGCTTAGCCTTTTTCTTTCTTTACTCTTTCCTCAGGAAAGTTCGCTCTTTGCTAATTTTACACAAAAAAAATGCACCATCTGTGGGCAACGCTGCACAAAGTCGTAGCTCGATAGGCTAAGAATCCAAATTTTCCGGTCGATTTAAAGAGCCCGCCGTCTCCTTGAATAACGCGGTATATAATCGTAATTTTTATTATTTGGTGGGCCTCTTGTACATTGTCTATAACATCAATTTAAAGGAATGAAAGACGTTTACAGACCCCTGTTACGCCGAATTAGAGCGCAGCTTTTGAGGAGGAGGAGGCGATGGAACGGAGGGGAGCGTATGCCCCTCCTATTCCTCCCCTCCTGTTTGCGGAAAATGTTTGCTAAATTTTCGGCTAAATTAAGGGTGGATTTTATTCAGCTAAACATTTTCCCGCTAAATTTAGAGGGAAAATGTTTTCGCTAAATATAGCACGGAAGTGTTTCCGCTAAACCTAGCGAGGAAATTTTTCGGCTAAATTTAGCGGGGATATAGATATTCACCCATCCCCTATAAAAAAGCGCGGCTTGCTCCACTGTCTGTCCTACTATACTGCATCATTCTGAAAGCGCTCAGGAGCTGTACCGTGTTTCTTGAAGTGATGCGTGTAAACTTATTGTATTTTTACTAATTCCTCAACATTTATACCTTCCAGGATCTCGTCGTGTCTATCATAGATCATTTAGGCGCTTAAGCTTCTTCAACAATTTTTATATATATTTTAGTAGACCAATGTCACCCTTCAGTTTCATTGCACAACCACTGCCGGCATGCATCATGGGAACTGTAGTCCTGCACGCACGACAACCCCTCTGCGGTTTAGCAGGAGCAGACCATGAGACGGCACGAGCTGCCTCGTGAACTGTCGCCTGCCTCCTCTGAACTACAATTATAGAGGCGTCACGCTTGCGTTGAACGCTTAGTGAGATCGGTCTATAGGGGGTGCTCATTGGCTGCCATATTGGAAGGTGATGTATGGAGCGCGTGCTCAGAACGAACTCTGACTAATAGCCTGCTAAGACCTGATGCACGTTGCAAAAAGACTGCGGAAGCTGGCCATTCCCACGTGCTCAGCAGCCATGCACACAGGTATGGCAGCCAGTGAAAACCCCCTTTTGGCTTTTGTATGTGCACACCTTTTCTTTAAACCTGGAGCTACGGGCACCATACCGTATCGACGGACCCGAGAAAGTAAGTGAACTAGAACTTATCTTACTTCAATTTTATTTTATCATCGTGGTCATTTGTAGCATAGTATTGAGTCTTCTTTAAGGGCATATTTGCTGAAGGCTGACTGTGCGAAAAGTTGTATAAAATATTGCTTCCATTTTATAGTTTAGCTTTTCAACTCGTTGACCAAAAGGGTGTACTTCTTCACCTGTTCAAGCGCCTAAAGCGCAATATAGCATAGATAGTGGCATGCTGCTCGCACCACTTTGTTCCCCTCAGGCAGACAATGATTTGAAGGTGGCGATAGAAGTAATATTTCTGTCGCGTGTATGTTAAGACAGCCAGAAGTTTGCAACCTTCAATGAGCGTCTGGTTCGATGCAGATGTAGCTGTCCATGAGAAATTTAGACATTGCAGTTTTACCGCTAACCTGGGGTCTTTAACACGCACCACGCAGTAATGACACACAACCGCACGTTGGTACGAAGTTCATCGAAATCTAAACGGGCAGTAGTGGCTATTGAACACAGAATCGCTGGGTTCAATAAGCGCGAGCTTTCGCTCCACGCGCTCCGAGCTCTGGTGCGTTAAAACATACGGCTACCGAACCCCTTGAGCGATATAACTACATAACGAAAATGTCTACCAAGAAGCCAAGGCAACCTACCCAGTTAGCCCCGATGTGGGGAAGTTCATTGAGTTTTTCTCTGTCAGTATGGGCAATCTCATAATATTTAAACAGCTTCATCTCTATTCAACGCAAAATAAACCATGTCTGCGAACAATTTTTTTTTCTAAATTATATATCAATTAATTGAATCCTAAAAATTATAACTTTGGCACCATTCTTTAACCTAGTTCAAGAGATGCAGATATTCACCGATCCCCTACTATATAGTCCGTGACTACTTTAAAAACGCAGGGTATGACTAGTTTGAAATATCTTTTCGCCGCTCTACAGCTCATGAAATTGCGGCATAAGTCGAAAATAAGACCGAAAAACAAATCACGAAACAAAGACCATGAACATAGTAAGCCAAACTTTGCATTTGTTAAGTCGTTCTCGACTGTTGGTGGCTCCAGCGATATTGAAGGCACTTAGCGGCTAGAACAGATAGCTGTGGCGACAGCCTTCTCGATCGAATCAGATATTCACAGAACCTGGCGGTGAAAACACGAAGCCGTCAAAGTGGGTTCAAAAACCCACGATAAAATTCGTCACTAGGGCGTAGAGCTCAATCTTCGGCGTCACCTTAAGAAGGTAAAAAGCGGAGACCGGATAAATACGTCGGCGTTCGGGTGGAACCCGTGTCCAATCACTGCGAACACGAGTCGCGGCCAACCGCTGATGAAGACTTCGTGTCCAAATCTGCATCCAGTATTGTCGCTCTTTAGATGCCGCCAAACACTTGTGGCTACATCTCTGCCATCTAGAAGATGTTGGTAGATTGCTTTTTAGCAATCATATTGCATAGCCATTGTCACGTATGTACTGGCTACTCACTCACTGACCATAACTTTTGTATCACCCAATTGTACTGCGAGTGGATTACGGCGATGTCTGCAAGCCAGTCTTAAGTTGAAAATAAAACGACAACAAAAATATTTGTTACTTCATCAGAAGTTCAGTTTAATTGCGAACGTCAAAAAAACTCCTAAATTACCGTCGGATGCGTTTTTGTTTGTATATTACACAAAGGACCACTGATTATAACTGTTTGTAAGCCTAAAATCGTTTTTTTTAATTAAATATGCCTACAAGTGCACTTACCGCGTTTTGAAGACAAATAACAATAGATACTTGGGAACGAACTTTAATTTTTGAAATGCTTGCACATTTTGACTGCACTGTCTGAAGTGCTGAGATGATTATGGCCTGAAAAGTCATACTTACAAAAGCCCGAGACAAGGCAAAAACAACAGAGAATAAGAAAATAGACAACACAACCACGTAACTTTTTTTTTTCTTGTTTTCGGGTTTTGTAAGTATCACCGTTTACCCAGGATCCTGTGCTATTACCCTTATTTCTCAAGGTCTGAATGCTTTTATATTTACTTTAAAGTATAAAAACCACACTACAAATTTTTTTTCTGGAAGCCTCACAAGCGTTTGCTTTATTTAAGACAAGTCACACATCCCATTTAAGACGGGTTCTAGTTCCGGCGTTCAGTGCTGTTTTAATGCAAAAGCAATAACTGCCTCATGGAGCGCAGCCGGCGTTGACTGTGACCACAAGAAAACGGTTCCTAATTTTCCTTCCAACGGCACTTCATAAAAAGGTTGGTGCGCGCTCTGAATTCTCTTTTAAACGGCAGTTAAAATGGCTGTGACGCGTGTTCCAAGGAACGCCACCGGCGCGCGCGCTAAATTCCCTGCTAGATATTAGTTGAAATGGCTGCGACGCCACCACCGCCATAGTTCCAAGGACCACCACCCCACAGAGAAACCCTCTCCCTGGCGCTACGACCCGAACGCCGGTAATAAAGTGAGGGTGGTGGCTGGGCCCTGCAGAGACCCCGACAGGGCAGCCTCCGCAGGGGTCCCCCGGCCGGGCTCAGCGCAGCGCGCAGTAATAAGCTACGGATACGAATACGTTCGTATTCCTACACGTTTGCAGTCTTAAGTGTCCTCCTGTAAACCTTTTCTATTCCTCCCAAAGTATTAAGTTTAACTTCATACGAACTTAATGTTACTTTCAGCACACGACGTGTGCTACGGGTGCTACAAGGTGATTACCCAATCAAAGCTGCTGTGTTGGCATCGTTATCTGATGTGTTCCCCCAGAGGCTAATTTTACATTTCACAAACAATTGCCATCTCACTTGACGTTGTTACCCTTGTACCCCCAAAAACTTTATCCTAATTTACAAATCAAAAAAACGTAAACAGCCAAACGAAAGACAAAGTTTCGTCTAGGAATACTCGAAGGTAGCTGACGGTGTAAACTTCGGTAATTTTACAGCACTTCTTAACAACTTGTCTGCTGCAAAAATATGCGATAGCAGTTGTTGTTTCAATATTTGATCCTCAGCATTGTTTTAAAATCTCCGCATTTTTACACTACACTTCTTTCTCTCTAATAGCACAGATTTCTGTTCTTAGTATTAAAAAAAGAAACACCGAAGAAAAAATATTATACAAGTGTATTTCTCAACGTGCACACGATCTAACTCAAGCACTCTGAAATAAATAAATAAATAAATAAATAAATAAATATACGGGGTGTCACAAAAAAAATTTACACGGTCTTCTTCTCCGCAAAAATAAACTAGGCATCGCAGAACGCTCATTTTCCGCCCAAAGGTAGAGCTAGAGGTCACAACCAGATGCCAAATTTCAGCTCGATCCGAAAACTTAAACAAAAGTTATAAGTGATTTTCTGAAAATTTCAATGGGAAAATGGAGCCCATTTTTGCCCGTTTTCGGTTTCTGGTGCCATAGAGCCCCATGTCTTTGAAAACTCCGTCGGCCGCCATTTTCCCATTGAAATTTTCAGAAAATCACTTATAACTTTGGATTAAGTTATCGGATCGGGCTGAAACTTTGGCATCTGGTTATGACCTCTAGTTCTACCTTTGGGCGGAGAATGAGCGTTCGGCGATGTAACCCCGTGTAAATTTTCTTTTGTGACACCCTGTATATATATATTTATTGCTAGATTAACACATTAAGCTTAAAAGTTTTAACTGCATGGTACATAGCCAAGGCACTTTTATGAAGATCCTGCAGACATGCCCACAGCATATTACATTCCCGTTGCTTTCGTCAGGTAAAAAAACAGGCATCAAAGCCATGCAACGTGTAGCCGTAAGTGATTAACGCCATGTGCACTGAACTCTCTCGTCACGTTCTTCAAGTCAGCTCGCTTCTGAAAATGTTATTCCAGTCCACCGTATAAAATAAGCCCCTGAAGCATCCGCTTTTACACTTCACCCATTGTCTAACTCTAAGAGCCAAGATGGTGTCCAGTCTAACCGTTTTGATGCTTGGGATGTTCATTGCCGGTAAGTTATGTAGACCTCCTGCGATAGACGATGGGACAGTTGATTTCACCCTGCTTATTTATATAGCTTCAGCATAAGTGCCCTATTTTTAGCAGTTACGTCTATCAAAATATTCCTAAATATTGACAGAGTTTTCCAGCAAAAGAGACGAAGACAAAGACAAACGAAGGCACAATAACATTAAGTTTTAATTTTCTCTTCAAAAGTATTCTATGTGCACCAGGTGATGCCTGCACAGTGTTCTGAGAAATTCTCCTTGCGTCGAAACTTGCATATAATTTCTGAACAACTTTTATTGAGAAAAAACGCACGCTAACTGTGAGCCCAGCGGAATTAGTACGACTTAATATGTTGTATTTGCTGGACCAGATTTAAGAAATAGAACTCTACAAAATGTATTTTTCGGATTTACAGATTTTTGTTAGTCGGCCCTACCAATATATGCCTGTATTTTTTTTATCTTTCTCAGGCGTACAGTCAGTGATTGAAACAGTTTAACAGGGACTGTCACAAATGCATCTATTGAGAAATTATTAATAACACCGGTGTGATAGCCTATCGTGTTTTCATGTATTATTGCACTGTCTTTGGAGATCTTGCTTTTGCTCTGTGTTCTTTTTTTCTTCCCCTTTGTATGGTGACCCTTGACTTGGCAACCAAATGGTGGCTGGCAGTATTTCTAATGAAAAAAATCAACAGCTACACGAATGGTCTAATACGGTCTTCGCAGTTGAATTATAAGTTTTGGGATACGTAATAAAAAAAACGTTTCAATTGCCTGATAAGTATAATACTAAGATTTGTTAGAGTTTTAATTAATTAGTGAAAAAATTATATGCTTTTAGTTAGAAACTTGCTGAGCCCATTTAAAACCACTAAATAAGTACATTTTAGAAATATTTGGGGTACATGGTAAGCGCAGTGGAGCGTTAAAGTTATTAATCCTCCAATGGGCGCAATGCTGGCAGTGAAAATCGCGAATGATAAGAGACGAAAAGAAAACAGCAACATTTCTGCTCCCTTCCCGTACCAGCAAAATCAAAATTGTTTCGTTATTTGCTTTGTACGATATGTAGCGACGATAAGAAAAGAGTGCTTACTGCATCGCGCATAAGTGTAGAGCAATCGACTACGACGTGAGCAATGGCGGTGCAGAAACAAAATCACACAACTAATGCACACCCGTCGAAACCGAAATCAAAACTACTCGTTGTGAGTCTACAGCTCCCAGAGTGCACCTGAACCGTTAAAGCGCTACAGGTTTGAATATTGGACATCACAGCGCTGGTATGTCGTTTTAGTTAGCCCTTTAAGTGCCTTGGACGAGCTGAGCTTGTTGGCCATTTTTGAGCTAAAAATGCCATGGACGAGTTCAGCTCGTCCAGTGGTTTTTCCGTAGCCTTCAATTCCACGGACGAACTAGGCTCGTCCGTGTAATTTCGCGGCGCTGATCATAGATGGCAGCACTCGTATTAGTTGGCAAATACTTTTTTCGCCTCCGCTAATTTTTTCGTAATAAACTTTTCAAATTATATGTGTAATATTAGAAGAATAAAAATTCAAAATAATATGGCACTTTTAGGGTACTTTTGGGGAAAACAATCTGGCACTTAAGGGGTTAAAGTTTGTGAGTTTTCACAATATGTCTTCGACCGACCGAATTGATCAGCAGGAGAAAATGGGCAAACTAAGTTTTTTTGTCACGATCACTGATCTCTATTCTAGTAGGCTGGATCGCGGATCTGGAGCCCGCCGGTGTCGCCACCGGCGGCCATTGCTTGACACCACGCAATACAAGCAAGTCTATGGTAGAAAAGCTCAAACCTAAGAATACTGAAGCATGTAGGCAGTGCTAAGAGGCGAGTATGTTATGGTGAGCTGCGATCCTTATGTCGGGTGTTCGGAAATCGAATCGGTATTCGCCAGTCGTTCGAACGCCGATTAAAAAAATCAAACGTACCGGAGCACCTACGGCTGAGCTGGCAAGCTTGCTCTCGTAGTGGAGTAAACAAAGTAACTTGCCGTCAATAAGACCGTCCTCGGGGAAGCCCAGAACTTGATGAATAACAAAGTTCCATCTCGACAGCGGCTTTCCGGGAGTGAGCGAAGTCCGCGTAGCAAAGCCTTCGAGCTTGTCGTCTGCTAAACCGAACTCAACGAAACCGCCACCGACTCCGCGGTAACTCTAGGTAGCTCTCGCCTCATTGAGCTGCACTACATCTTTCGCCCAGCGCAGTCACTCTCGACCACAAAATATTTCTTTATAAGAACTGCGAGGGCTGTAAGTTTTAATGTTTGAACGCAAGCTATTTGACGGGCTTATCGAAAGACAGCCGAAAAGTTTCAGTGCCGACAACAGCTCAGAAACGGGGGTAACGGTATTTTTTCTTGTTTTCCCCATAGAGTCCCATGCATTGGCTGGTGTCAATCAATGGCCGCCGGTGGCGACACTCGGGCCCAGATGCCGAGGTCGCAGTCCGCGATCCAGCCTACTACGGTAGAGATCAGTGGTCACTACAATAGAGATCAGTGGACACGATGCATTGCAAAGTGCCGCTGGCGCTACCTGCCACCTCCTTTCGCTCCTAAATGTTCATTCTATAACGATGCCAAAAAATATTTCAACAAAACGAGTCTTCAAAAACGGTCGTCTTACCCGACAGTCATTAAACCTGTTACCCAAAAATGACGAATATCCAATGTACATAAAAAATTCAGAAGTTATGTTACTAAAATAAATATATCGTCTACGTCATTAATTTATGTGTTTGAAATTTCATCTTAATGGTGCTCCCCTATTCTTTCAAGTAAGAAACTAAATTTGAGTTAATCGTTTCCAGTGTAATTTTCTTAGTGCTGAATTCAGATCATCGTTTATTTTCCTTGAAGGCCCGTGGGGCATTGGAGTGTCAATAAAACAAAACAGCGGAATGGAAACACAAATATAACGCTATAAGCTAGTTAGCTAGGCTAGATTGAAAGAAGGTAATGAATTCAAGCAAGTAAGTAGTATAATATCTACAAACAATATTCTGAGGTTGTGACCTCCAACCCTCGACAGCCAATGATAGGGTGTAAATCTGATGAGAAACAGTTTATTTTCGAATCGGATGAAATTTGCATGGGTGATCTAAACAAGGGGAAATACGATGGGGCGGAGATAGCAACAATTTTCTGACATGGAAACTGCGATAAAAAAATCGATGAAGGGAGAGAGGCGTGAAATTGAATGATGATTAATTAGCTTCCTATCATTGTTATCATTGTTCGAATTTATTGCTTTATCTATTATTGCTAGTCAATGTTATGAGTCAATGTTATGAGATTTTCTGCATTACCTGTTTTTTTTGTTGTTTTTTCCGTTTTGCTTTAAAGCTACCTTCTGAAGCGAAAACGTTGTTCAAAAATGTCTGGAGTGTAGGCTAAACACGTTACATGTGTAACATGGCGTAGATATTTTCGTATACGGGTGAAGAAACTATTTGTCGCGGTAACGAAATAAGTCATGCGTTTTATTTAAAAAAAAACGATTATACATCGCCCCGAAAAGGACAACCATAACCATGTTATTCTAAACCAGCTTCTTCGATTGTCGGCGCTTATTTGCTCTGATATTAAAAATAATTTAAAGTCAGTCATTTCACGAGTACGATTTTGTACCTACTGCCATTGTTTTGCCTCGCTTAAAGCTTAAAACATTCATGTTCTTTTTTTTTTTTCTAGTAATTGCAGATGCACAATTAGGTTCGAGCTTTCCAGACAACAAAGAAGCGCAGGTAAGGTTTGCATTTCACCCCATAACTTCTGTAGATGTTGCATTTGTATTCTTCACAGTAAATAAGGAAAATAGTGTATACAACTCTCTGCAGAGTATAATTCAACATTCCACAAATTGTAGGATGTGTTGTTCAAACATTAACAAAAATCGTGAATGACTTTCATGAACTATTCCCATGAATATACTTAAAGCTTATTTGTTCTGAGTCAGCAGTAGCAACAATACATTTTATAAATTATCCAACCTGGCTAAATATATAGTTAATGTGTGTAATATTCCTTCAAGTTATACAGCAGAAGCTTATTAAAAATACATCTATTTTCCAGTAAAATTAAATTAGACTGAGCAATAAAATGTTATGCACTTAAAAATATATGAACGTGTTGTAAACACATAAATCAAACAGCGCAAACGAACACAATGACTAGTAGAAGAAGGGATACAGACACAGCGCTGACTCACGTAGTAGAGAAATATACAGGGTGTTTCAGAGAGCGCCGGCCAAATCGCTCCTGCGAAAACTACTCATCGCGACGAAAAAAGGCTTGTGGCGTTGTGGTTCTAGGCCAGGGGCCCATTTCAAAAAATTATTAAAGTCCGGGATAATTAACTTGTTAATTATTTTGGCCTAATTAACTTTTTTAATATTGTGTTTAAGGGCATGGTTTAAATTTCAAAATTGCTTAGCATCATCGAAAACCACTAAACTAACAAATTGCAGTACGATAGAAGGCACGCGAAGCATTTTACGGCCTTCTGAAAAACCGCACAAATTCGACGGGTTGTTAAGTTTCGGTTTGTTATCGGAGCGCACCTCGGCCCCGGCAGCACCGCGCCGCGTGGAGAGATAGTGCAACCAGACTCTGCTGCGTCGCGCGATGACAGCGCAGCAAAGGTTGGTTGCACTATCTCTTCGCGGGGCGCGGTGCCGTCGGGGCCCAGATGCGCTCTGATAGCAAACCGAAACTTAAACACGCGTGGAATTTGTGCGGTTTACATTGTTCCACCGCAGGTCTGAGGTGGAACGATGAATAGTTACATATTTATCTACTACTTTCTTTCCTTTTTCATTTGTTTTTCTAACGGTATACTTTCTGTAAGATATTCTTCGGATAGCACATGACAATGAAGATGTCCTACATCTTGGATTCTTCTTCTTTCTAATCCTTTGTGTTCTCAGGTAATGTGTTTTAAGGATACGAAAAAGAGAGTAAGTCGTGAGTCAGCGCTGTGCCTGTGTCCCTTATCTATTTGTCCTTGTGTTCGTTCGCGCTGTATTATTTAAATGTTTACAATGCAGCACCGACTAGCCCACCTCCAAACATTACTGCAGTTTGAACGTCTTACTTAAAATTCAGGTACCGAACTATTTTCGGCAAATGTGAGAAATGTCATACGCCCGGGGCAGATGCGATGTAAGTATTACAGTGAATTTATGAAATTGAACTCAACGTACACTCTTCGAACAAATGTATGAAATCGCACTGGTTTAGGCTAGATACAAATTAGATAATGCCAGCTCTAAACAGTCTCTGACAGGCAAAGCGTGGCATTTCAAATAATTACAACATTAAACAATACATATTGTCGAAACCCTGGTTTACAGAATACACAATATTCCTGGTTTGTAGTAGTATAGCATTTTTACCCCTTATACATGATATTAATTAGGTATTCAGCAGTGATTAATTTCAAAAACAATTTGGGTGGTACATTTTAGATGTATTATTATAGTTTCTTGTCAACACAACAGCCTTGTTTCAAATGTATGGCGTGATCTTCGTAAGGAGTTATGTTATAGAGCTATATCTCTATTTTATATCCGATTAACGAGGGATAACTTTAAACTAGTCACGTTGTATTCAAATATCATTTAGTAAATTCCACTATCTATTTAGTATATCTGAGTTAGAGATCCGTAAAATATTGTCCTTAAGAAACCAGACGTGACCAGATATAAATGTAAAAATATATGATAACGCAAAACTCAATGCTGTATTTAATTATACGAGAAACATGCACATATATTTTTGAGAAATATAGTTTTTAATCAAAGACAATTTCATACTAATAATATAGTTTTTGCATTTATAATTTTGAAAAAAGCATTATATGAACATGGTGGAGTTTATAGCTCCATGATTTAATTTTTCGAGGTAAACCTTGCATCCACTCAGTGTCATGTGATTACTCATCGATTTTCTTAAAGGGGCTCTCAAGTAGTTTTTGTAGAAGCTTGTTTTCATTGCACATTGTCTGTTGGGCTTCAGTCAATAAAAATTATCAGTTCCAGGTCTGGACTCCACTACTTACATAAAATTTGACCAAATAAACCAGTAATGGCGTGGATATTCTGAACGTTAATATTAGTGATACTTTTACACACGTCCTGCATTATATTTTAACAAAATCTTCAAATCTTTGAGTGTAAATGACGTAATACAGCAATTATTGTCTAAAAACGCCTTGCGACGGCCCCTCCAGGTGTCCACTCCAAGGCTTAAAAAAAAGTGGCCTGTCACAATCAGTGATTAGAATTTTTAATAACAAAATCGGCCGCCCATGAGTGTGGTTTTAGATTTTTAATATTCTTAGAGCTCGTAGATTCATTTATTATCATTAATAGATGATCTCACGATCCACTTGAATGCTCCTTTAAGAGTAGCATTTATTTTCACCAACTGCATATTGATTTTAGAAATGTTATTCGTACGTATTATGTTCTAAAAACGTAAAATCTCATATTACAATTTTACACTTTACTTACCATACAGTCTTGATTTCAGATTGTTAGCGAAATTTTAATTCGTCAAAAGCGATACATCCCATACCGCTGTACCTATGGATGGAGGAGGCGGCCTGATGGAAGTCTTTGCAGGGTTAGTATATTTAAATCTGCTGACATATGCAGCCAAAGGGAAATTTACAGGATTCAACCAAACTTTTCAGCAGCTCAAGTAATCTGTTTTAAACTACTGCAAGGCATACATACTAAATTGAAATAAAAAACGCAATGTTCTTCAAAATTCATACTGTGAACCTGTTATTTATATATCTCAATTTTAAACTGATCTCAGAGCAAAACATTGTAGTGGAAAGGTCCAAAATCATGTTTTTATGAGTAAGTTTTAAAACAACAGACTGGACTGAATATAAAAAGATAGCAAAATGCTCGAACAATAAATTCGGAAAAGTGGAAGACTATATGCCTCGAAGCGGCAACCATTGCTCTGCACAAAGATTTATCCAAAAAAGGTTTCCTTTAGCGAATCGCCGGTTGATTTTTAACCCGATAATTTTAGAATATGAATTCGTTTCACATGAAACAAACTAGTACAGTTAACGCTTAATTCATAAGATAAACACGAATCGAAAAACAAATGGTCTTTTGTACTGGCATATGATTATAATCTCTGCAGAAGAGGGGGAGAACGATATTTGTTAAATATTTTATCATTCCTCCTTCTAACAAAACGTTGTAAATCGTTTTGTATTAAAATGGAACTAAAATTACTTCTCAACTTGTGGCAAACTCATAAATGTGAGTCATCCTTCGGAAAAAGCCTTTTTCACAGTTATACCACACGAATAACTCAGTTGTGAGGGACTGAGAGACATAATCGTCTTATAAACTATGTATTAGCTTTGAAATACTGCGATAAACACTTATTTTGGAGATGTGAAAGATTTTCAATACTAAATTATCCTCGTATATTCTCGTATTGAATGCACAGTAAGTGACGAATTCCAGCAATGTCAATACCGACTTTTGTTTGAAATATTTCGTCCCGATTGCAAACTTTTAAACTCAAGATGCGGATATTTACTTGTACAGATACTTTAAAATTGCAAAGCGAATTCACGGAAGGAAAGCCCTATGGATAAATTACTTAAACTCTAAGGGTCCTAAATATGCCACATTTAAAAATTATACAAGCTTATTTGCGCTTCTTTACAGATTTCCTACCGCATCTATGGATTTTGCAAGAATGGGATTTGTTCTAGTCCAAGGCCACCCAACCCCACAGCCAGACCAGTTCCTCCGCCTAAACCTACCTCAACAGCACTTCCGACCACACCCACCCGAACATCCCCAACAGCTCTTTCGACGAAACCATCTCCAATCACCTCGAAAGCTCCGACGACGACACCCTCCCCAACCACCTCAACAGCTCCTCCGACGACACCCACCCGAACATCCCCAACAGCTCCTCCGACGACACCATCCCGAACCACCTCAACAGCTCCTCCCACGACGGCACCCTCCCCAACCACCACAACAGTTTCCCTGACCACACCCGCCCGAACATCCCCAACAGCACCTCCGACGACACCATCCCGAACCACCTCAACAGCTCCTCCCACGACGGCACCCTCCCCAACCACCACAACAGTTTCCCTGACCACACCCACCGGAACATCCCCAACAGCACCTCCGACGACACCCTCCCCAACCACCTCAACAGCTCCACCAAACACACACACCCCAATCACGATACCTGCTTCACCGACCAAACCCACACAAACCACCACAACTGATCCTCCGTACCAACTCAGCATAACCACTACAACAGCACCCCCAATCACAAACATCCCAACCACGTCCGCAGATTCAACAACCAAACTCAATCCAGTCACCCCGACAGCTCCTCCAGTCAAATCCACTCCGATCACCACAACCACTCCGAGCAAACCCACCACAACAGCTCCTCATACGTAGGGTAACTATATAAACAACTGTGCTACTCTGCTGCATTTGAGAAGCAGAGTAACACAATGGCCTCTCTTTTTTTCTTTTCCAAAGTCAACGTGACCGCCTTAGTTCTACAGGTGGTGCTGCTTCGGCGGTAACCGTCATCCTCAGAGCGCGTGTGCATACGCTGCATAACGTGTGCGGTCATTGTCTACTCCTACAGCTTGATTATTTTAGCATGCGGTCTTTTCTTTACCAATCGTGAAGAGGCATAAAATTAACTACTTTGTTACTGCTATTTAGCTACTCTACTCCTACCAAAGACACCACTAAAGCTCCCGTCCTCCAAACCATTTCCCTACATCGGAACAAATCCAGTCATATTCCCACACAACCCTGACCTTAACTTCGACCACGTCATGATGAGACATTGCCACCACGGTCACATAAACGTTGTGACCCGACCATAAGCCACTATTGTGCAAGATTGAGTAGCGTCAGTCACGGCACGACCATGGGAGAAACCAGCATCAGGCTTGGCGACGTTCAACACTCCAGGATCTCAAGTCTCCTGCACCATTGTAAAAAAAATGTCACAGATTCAAAATAAAAATGTAAACATTCAAATAGACCACAGTCTTTTTTAAAGAATATATCAAAAGTGGAGGTACAGTTTTCATAGCAATATTTGAAGTATTAATTCAACGCAAGTACCAAAACTTAATAGATTTCAGCACCTAAGACTAGGGTGAATTTGAGGAAGACTGCAATCATAGTGTGCAAAACGCATGACATATCCAGGCCTAATTCTGGCTCATCAATTAAAGGTACCCTTATTAAGCCGTAGATATCGGGTCGAGAAAATGTCCAAACCGTCTTCAGGCTCGATGTAATGTTTAGGCTAATGACAGTGCGTTGGACGTATAGGTATGTTGAGGCTGGCGAATGTACAGGCTGTCACAAAAGAAAATTTACAGGTTTTTTTTATCGCAAAAATAAACTCGGCATCACCGAGCGCTCATTCTCCGCCCGAAGGTAGCTCAAGAGGTCACAACCAGATGTCAAAGTTTCAGTCCCATCCGATAACTTAATCAAAAGTTATAAGTGATTTTATGAAAATCTCAATGGGAAAATGGAGCTCATTTTTCCCCGTTTTCGGTTTCTAATGCCCATAGAGCCCCATGTATTCGAAAACTCCGTCGGCCGCCATTTTCCCAATGAAATTTTCAGAAAATCCCTTATAAATTTTAATTAAGTTATCGGATCGGGCTGAAACTTTGGCATCTGGTTGTTACCTCCACCGCTACCTTAGGGCGGAGAATGAGCGTTCGGCGATGCCTAGTTTATTTTTGCGGAAATAAAAACCCTGTAAATTTTCTTTGTGACACCCTGTGCATTTAAAAAATTTAATGACCTTCTGACTAGCGTTCGTAACCCTGTTTGTTGATAGGAGTCTTACGAAAGCAGGGCGATGCATACGACTCTAGGGCGCACACAATGAAGGTCAGTAAGCGCGTAAAACATGTAAGGAAAGTAGTACCTGGGGGGTCCGAATATTGGAGGTCAACACTATTAGGTGAAAACAAACACCACTGGCTTACCAATTCAAAATACATACGCGTGACGTAACGTACAAGGAGTACATGTAGAAGCTTGTAACCACAAGGACGTTTTCTTGCAGCTTTCGTTTCGCAACGCTAAGGAAACATTTACTCAGAGCCTGAAAAGAAGCCTTCGAAAACTCTCATATAAGCATTCGGAAAGAAAATTTCAAACAAGACTTCCCTCACTTTGTTTACACAGTGACTGACCTTCCTTGTGTGTGCGATTGAGTCATCAAGGCAATTTTTCATTCATACGGTTCGCAACTACAAGCCGCAGTGCCCGTGAAACTTTTCCACAGCCAGTGAGAAAAACCTCACGTCAGGCAAACACCACCACCACCACCACCACCACCACCACCACAAGCCGCATTGGAATCCGCCGATACTCCTTATTTCCGAGTCCTACTAGAGCGGAAGCAGAAACGGAAGCCTCAAACCTGAGTCTTCCGTGATTTGACAGGCTTTGTAGAATAAAGTAGGCTATGCTCAAACACGAGCATCATGCAAGCGAGGGTATCTTTGGCAGGCTTGCAATACCTCGTGCTTACTTCTCGAGCACCGAACGACTAAACGCCTGCCAAAACTATCATCACGAGCATGCTGCACGTGTTTGAGGCTTGTCGTTATTGTTAGCTTCTGTCTGAGGCTGTAGTGTGAGTCGGGGATTCGAATATGCACTCTAAGGAAAAAGGAGGAAAAAAGTAGAAACGGCGCGTCTTCCTCCCTTCTGCCGACGCGCCCCCAAGCAGACACGAGAAAAGGGGAGGTACGAAACGTTTTTCTTCTTCTCCAGGCCAGGGGGGTAAAGGTGGGTGAGGAAGAGTGGCAAATCCCGTGCGCCGACATCCTGGGTCCCGAGTGAACGATCGTGAAAGAGAGCGACAGAACACAAGAAAAATAAAGCAACTTTGCCAGCTGAAGGAAGACAGTCGCAATGGTAAACGCGAAGACTGAAAACTCTCAGCAATATAAACAGTGATAATTTAACGTTGTAAACTAAATTCTGAGCTATTCTAACGCTTATAAAAAGCAATATAGTCATTACGCTGCATTAACTTCCCTTCTGTCGAAATCTCCGAAATCTGGTGGTTGCGCAGTTTTGTATTCCTCAACCGGGACCCCCCGCGCCCCACCGGCGAAGCCGGGTATCTGGTTTAGTTCAGCGTTGATTCGAGGCCGTACATGTGCGCGCTATGCAAAAAGAAAGCTTCGAAAGGAACGCGAATATCTTTCCACCGGTAAGTTCGTGGATTGTTTAAGTTTATGACACTGCTCTGATGATATATTTGTGAAATCGAAGGCAGTTGGTAACCATGTGGAACCCCGAGGGTCTGCCTGCATACTCCGCCGCTTGTGGCAGCCAGAATGCATGGGAAAAGGGCGGACATTTTCCTCTAGAGTTAGTATGTATGATCTCTATGCTCCCGGCAGACGGAAGAAAGCTTTCGCCCTCCCGACTTCGTCTTTCGGTTTCGTTTTTCGAGCAGGTCGCGCACGTTGTTTAATAAATAGCTGTTGAGTTGATTGAGCTTCAGCGGCAGCGAAGGTCGCCTGTAATTCCGTCTTCTAGTCTAAACGTCCAGAACATTTCGGTTGCATTGACGTTTTTATCACTAATTTTATCAAACGAGCAAACGAAGCCGCTAGAAACAGCGAAGTCCCGGAGCAGTGCCAGCAGCGCCACGTACAATGGGCGATGGCCGTCTCCGCATTGCGGGACTCGCGCGGTACGCGCGGTACGGAACTACAGCACTGCAGTCACTACAGTAGCGAAACCACGCGGAACTGTGTCGATGTTTTCGACGTTATGGAAACCGCAGGAACTGCGTCCAAGACAGGCAGGTTTTGCTGCCGGCGGCCTGGGTGCCTTCCCCCCTGAGTTCGGTTGTGTTTTCCGATGCCGAGCAACCGGCGTTCAACGTGGTTCTGTGTTTGTGCGTGTCAGCAACATAGCTGCAACATCGCGATGGCAGTGTTGTGGGTTGTGAACAGAAAACTGGAATCATCGCCGATGTGTCCGTGTGTTCGCGTATCAGTGGTGTAACAAGAAGATGGGATCGTAAGCTGTTGGGCATTGATGCCGCTGGTCGGGCCGTGATCGGAGGGGGCGGGGTGGCGCAGGTTGACATTCCGCTTTACATTAAAAAGTTTAATACTACTTCAGGGATTACGTGCAATCGATCAACGTGCGGATAGTCATGTTGGAACGCTGGTCTGAACAGTAGAAGCCCCTATCGTACAGTGGCCAATGTGACTGTCGGAATTGTCTCGTCCCCGAGAGCGATTGCGCTCTGGGGCAAGAACTGAACAGTACGAAATCATGACGGAAAGTACGTATATTTACAGTATGGAATTTCGGCATTAAAAAAGAATAGTAGGTAAAATCGAAAAAAAAAGCTACCCTTTATTTTGCTGTTTAGTTTAAATGTACTACGGTTCCTGGAGAAACGGCCGTGGCGCGCTGGGATGAGCGCTAGAAGTTTTCGGGCTCGCCACGGCGTAGCTCCGTACACTTAACACCTGCCGCAAGTCGCGGCTTTGACTGCGCTCAAGTTGATCGAAAAGCGATTCCTTAGCCCGTGAAGCATCACTTCCAGCTGAGTGAATATCCGCTCTACGGAGATTAGTTCAAGACGGCAATTGCAGCTTTGCGCGAACCTATGGCGCGAACAGCACAAATAGAAAAACCAATAGAAATGCAGGCTACGACCAGAGCCGGCTACGACGTGCCGTGTGGGGAAACAAACTCATGGCTTCGAACCGCATTGGAGCGGCTTGATTTATTAGCTTTCAAATAATTACGGCACGATCGAGCGTTTACATTTTAATAAGAGATTCATCCCCTGAGCCATTAAAAATACTCTCAGAGGTATGACATTGCTGGGAAAAAGTCAACATGCTGGGTATATATTTATTGCTGAGGGAGTCACCGAAAAGTTCCGTACGTTCAAAACGACCAGTATAAAAGACGGAAACGCAGAGCACGGGTGTAGTCTTCGGGTTAGTGTGGTGTTCCGTTGGGATTCGTCGTTTGGTTTTCGAAGCGAACGGACGTATCGCTATGAGCTCCGTCGGAGCGGTAACAATGGCTACTGATAGCCGCGGATCTGCTGTATCATCGAACGAAGGCTACAGGATCGTTCTGCCTCCCCTGCCCACGGGTGTTCACGCCCTCAATTCAGTCTCCCTACACGCGGACATAACAGCTCGGCCTTATCGCATCCAGGATTTTAAAAAAGGACTCGAGAAAGCCGGTGTGCTAGGCGAAATCGCCGCGTTTGGTTCATACCAAATGAACCACGTGTGGATAGTGACCCTGAAGACGTCGTTCGCCAAGAAAAAGCTGTTGAGCGCCGCAACCTTTGAAGTCAAAGGAAAGCGCTGCGTCGTCATCGACCCGGAAAAATCTGAGGTGAGGCTGAA